CTGAACATGCCATTAGTTATTTACAAAGAGATCCATTTACAGGAGACCTCTTACTTTAAAGGTGGATTTATTTATGATGTACTGTTACATGTACCACTACAGATGCTGATAGGATCAACATGTTTTATTTTTGTTTTCAGAAGGAAATAAAATTTGGTATTGTCCAAACTTAAAATTATGTATTTGCAAGAATTTTTAAGTTCCCATTAGGGTAGATGAAAGCATTCTGGTAAATGGGTGTTTATGATTGGTTAGGTCTATTGGATGTCAATTTCTTGAAACGGCAACTCTCACATACAGTATACCCTGTACTGCACTCTCAAATTCCACAAATGGCTTGGAAAAATGTAAATTTTCTTTCAGGAACCTTTCCTAACTTATCTTACCATTTGAGTAAACTCTTGAAATCTCAATATAGAGACTTATGAAATACAAATAAATGCAAAGAATTCAAATACAATTTCTATAGCATTAAGCATCTGAGCAGACAAACATATACTAAAATACAATTTTAATGTATTTAGTGTATTTCTGCTTATCCACGTAAACTACGTGTTTGGGTCATGTGGTACAAAGGACCTTTTTGATTGTTAACTTTTGATTGTTAGGTCATTGGTCAACCCCGTTTTGCAAAGCTTGTGAGATCTCAGTTTCTCCACTTCCTCCTTTTAATATTCTCGTAAGATGGAAAATCAGTTTTTCATCATTTATATCCAAACCATATTTGTCTTAAAGCAACACCTCTATTCCCTTTTGTTGAAGATTTGTGAGTTTCTACATGAGCCATCTGATTACCTACAAATCTTTTTGACCTCAGTAATTCCTAAGTATGTAATTTCTAGTATCTTCAGAAATAGGTAGATAAAAGATAATATGAACCATTAGTACAGTATAAATCCAATGCTGCTTTCCTGCTTTTTCTTGCAGTTCCTAAATCAAGGCATATCCGGCTCTTATCGTATTCTCATTTTGCTGAAATAGTACATGCTTCATTGTAAATTGTGACATTTGATACTAAAGATTTTAAATACCAGGCTGATAGGGTATTTATTCTCAGCCCCAGTGAGATTAAAAAATTTGATTGCTTCAACTCCTAGTGAATCACATCCTGTGTAGTTTCATCTGTGAGTGGCAATTCCAGAGAAATATTATCACAACAGCAAACATTCCAGTGATCATGGCATCTAGTCAGCAGCACTTGTGTATGGAGGAGTTACATAGCTTCAGGCCATTTTATGCTTTTGTCCGTGCGTGTGTCTGCATGTATATGTGAATAACAGAATAACAGAGTTGGAAGGGACCTTGGAGGTCTTCTAGTCCAACCCCCTGCTCAAGCAGGAGATGCTTACCATTTCAGGCAAATGGCTGTCCAATCTCTTCTTAAAAACCTTACACTCACAACTTCTAGAGGCAAGCTTTTGCACTGATTAATTGTTCTCACTGTCAGGAAATTTCTCATTAGTTCTAAGTTGCTTCTCTCCTTGATTAGTCTCCATCTGTTGCTTCTTGCCCTGCCTTCATGTGCTTTGGAGAATAGCTTGACTCCCTCTTTCTTGTGGCAGCCCCTCAAATGTTGGGGATAGATACATCTTATGCAGCGGAGTAGTTATTTGCATCTTCTCAAGTTGGGTTATGAAACATCTGCAAGAAAACCACTAAGCTCAGGGAGGACCAAGAACCCCACAGTTCAATCCTGAGCTACAAATATTATTTTCTATTGATATCTGACTTGAGTGTGTGCACATATGTAAACATGCCTTTGAGTCAGTTTTGACTCCTGGCAAAGCTTGGATGAATCTCTGCAATTTTCTTGTCAAGATTTCAGAAGTAGTTTGCCATTGCCTCCTCTTTAGGGCTGAGAGGATGTGACTGGCCCAAGATCACCTAACACAGGACTAGAATTCACAATTTCCCAGTTTCTAGCTTGGTGCCTTAACCTTTACACCCAATGGCTTCCTCAGCCCTGTCAGATGCCACTTTGTTACAGATGGAAACCAGAGCATGCTTCTCTTGCTGCTTCTCACAGTATGGGTAGATGCCATGAGAAGATACGGTCCTGTAGGTAGTCTAGGAGCTACCCCAAGGCCTTATGCAGTATTCCATTTAGTTTTCTTTTTCTGATTTATATGGCCATTCATCTCACAAAAGCAGCTCTGGGAGGTGGGCAACGATCAGTAAAAACAACATGTCTATAAAAATGTAAAACCACATTAAAAATAAGAAAATAATATTAAACAATTTAAAATCTACAAACTAGGTAGGGAAGCTAAAAGATGATTTACAATGTAGCCGTTTAAGATATCTTTGGTTCTCTTAGATTCCCCCAAGGCATAGTGACATACTACTACTTGCATAATTCTGGCTTGATCCACGCAAAGCAAGGAAAACAAAAGAAAATAAAATAAGACTTCATGTGTTTCCTATTCCCAATATGAGACATCACAGGTAGTCCTCAACTTACAACCACAACTGAGCCC